TGTATTCGGTAGAAGACCAGTAAATTCCCAGTGCTGCTTCTCCTGTTTCGTATCTATCTCTATTTCTATCTCTATCTTTCTTTCTCTTCTTCTTCCTTCTCTCTCTCTCTCTCTCTCTCTCTCTCTCTCTCTCTCTCTCTCTCTCTCTATACATATATATACCTGACGAAAAATATATAATTAATGAATAAAAATTTGGTTTATCGTACATTTCGTTAGATCCGTTATGTCTCGTTAAAAAAAAAAGAAAAAAAAAAGAAAAAAATAAATAAAATGAAAATACGACGATCATCAACGAGAAATGAATATTGACGAATAGTGGATGTGTTATTATTTTCTCTAATAAACGAAAAAACAAAGAGAGAAAAACGGAGACACTGCGGACACATGTTTTCCCATAAAAGACATTATTCTTTCGTAAATATAATCTTCATTAATCGGACATTGACTACTATGAGAGAACGATGGTCGGAGGGGAGAAGAACATGAGTCGGCCATCGCGACCTGAGATATAAGTGTTGAGAACCGAAAATTGAGAGCTCCCTTCAAGTTTTGTTTTTTTTTCGTTCCTTTTTTTTTTTGGAATATAAGCATTCTATTTGGTAGGGCAAACGATAGGAGTTTACAAGGAATCGAGATTAAGGATATGGGTATGGATGATGATAAAATATTTGGTTACAACTCCATGTCCTGCGCCTCGTCTTCGCTAAAGTCGCTCATCGATGATTCGCTATCGGACGACATCCCGTTCCCGGTCCCACCGTTTTCCTGGTCCCTCAATGCCTCCTCCGTTGCATATTTCCTAACGTAATCTATAAACCAAATTTTCAATTATATTACATTTTGTAATATGGAATAACCAATTGATCATCCTATGTTTTTACTTTAATTTCAATGTTTTTAAAATCATCACTGAACTCAAAAACATTTAAACAATCGAAAATATAAGCAGAGTGTGTGCATTAGAGTATTCAAATAATTATTAATTAACGTCTATTGTTATCTAAAAGCTCGGAATATTGATCTATGTACTGTTCTCTTCGAAATTCACCTTCAGACTGGCACGTTGTCTTCTATGAAAATACTTTTATTGAATATTGTTTATGTGACATTCCGAACGTTGCGCATGTGTATAACGAGAAGAATCTATCTAATAAATAGAATTTTAGATTGAGACGTTCTGATTTTAGTATTTCTATCATTTTTATATATTTTTTTAACGCTCCTACGCAGTGACGACTACGAAAGGAAGGAATAAAATTCTCATCGAAATTAATTAATATTCAAAGTACGTTCAAATGTATGTAATGTTTAAATAAATATATTTGCGTTGAAACAATCTTAAATATAATAGGGAGTGTATTAGAGTATTAAAATAATTGTTAATTAATTGATAGAAGTGTCTATTGTTATAGAAAAGTACGAAATATATGATCGGAGCACCGTCCTCTTCGAAATTCACCTTCAGACTGGCACGTTGTTCTCTATGAAAATACTTTTATTCAATTTTATTTATATGACTTTCCAATGGCTATATATGTATAACGATAACAATATGCATAATAATTCCTTTTAAAGAAAGTTATATAAACAATTTTCAATAAAAGAACTTTAATTGAGGACAATGACTCAGTCCAATGGTGGATTTCGAAGAGGACGGTACGTTAAACATATACTTCTTGTTTTTAACATTATAATATACATTTTCTTCAATTAATTAACAATTATTTAAGTCATGTCTACTATTCTTATGCACTCTACTTATATTTCAGATTTTTTCAATCAAAACACATTTGTTTTAACATTTCTAAAATAACAATTTCTGCTATTACAGCTTTTCACGTGCTTAACTAAGATCAACAAAATGTACACTGTATTATTCTTAATTTAATGGGTATTAAATTAATTTTGATATTAAGAAACATTGAAATAACAGTAAAAACACATAGGATGATCAGACATGAAAAAACAAATTATTCTCGTTGTTATACCAACATGTATGATTTTTAAGTACGGCCGTTTTCTATAGATTATTTTCATATTTCTTTAATTCACTTGTTATAAACAAAATTTTCGAATATTGAATCATTAAATATGTAATTAAGATATATTAATATATTCATTTTTTGGAATTTTCTTTATCTTACTTAGACACATTATTTATATCATTAGTTTTAAAAGAAAAATTTAGTAAGGAACACTCATTGTATATAGCGATACAATATTATATAAGTAATACGATTTTCATTAGAAAATGTTTTTTAATTATTTAGATTATTTTCTTGATCGATGAAATCGTAAAAAAATATAATAACCGCAGTAACAACGAACTTGTTAAATGTTTCAAGACTTACCGGCTACCTTTTTCTTGTACTCCTCTGGTTTATGGAGATACATAGCAGCTGCATCGCCGTTTAGAGGGTCGATGGGATTGGGATATGTTAATAATTGGGGTAGGAAGGATTCGAAAATATTTGACAAGTCTGAAACGAAACGAAAGGAATTAGATTTGTCTCATAATCATCTTATTTAATTATTAATTATATTATCATCATCATCATTATTATTATTATTATTACTATTATTAATATTTAAATAAGGAATGCATACCATAAAGGGCAGTCCAAGCCTGGTTTATAACATCCAGGCACACGGTGCCTGAAACTTCGTCAATGTTAGGGTGGTAGACCTTGTTTATAAAACCGATCGAAGGAGATTTGAAGGGATAATGCTCGGGCAAGAGAACCCTCACCTTCCATATTCCACCCTCGTAAGGTGCTGTAACGAACAATGAACAATATCATTACGATCATGCACAAATTATGTAAATTAATTATTTCGTTGTAGAGATAAAAAAGAAAAAAAAAAGAATGATTTATTAAATCTTACGGAACAATAGAAAAATCGATGAAAATTAAAAAGGAGGGAGGGAAAAAAGGGGTGTATCATTTACAAAACGCTGATTCTTATCTCGCAAGCGTAAAACTTAGAAAGCTATTACGTTACCACTTTTCGTCACGAAAGGCCTAACTAGCTTCGAAAGATTTACTCGGGAAGAAAAATTAGTATTATAATCGCAGCGAATCGTTACAATCGATTTTGTACAGTTATCGATGATATTGCCACGATCCGAGATTCAAAGGCTGTACCATAATTCGCGTTACCTTCATGGAAACGAGAACATTCAACGGTAAAACTTCTCACAAAGCGATGTTCTTTCGTGGAAATAGAAGAAAGAAAAATAGGAGAGTACGTTGGTTTCGTTATACTCGTTCAATCTTTCCCACTGGAAAGAAAGAAAGAAAGAAAGAAAGGATGGAAGGATGGAAGGATGGAAGGAAGGGAAGGGAAGGGATGGGAAGGGAAGGGAAGGGAAGGGAAGAATATTTTCTCCACGTTCAATATTAACGTTTCGAAGCTATTAAATAAATATGCATAGATATTTATATACGGTATAGCGAAATGTTAAACGCAAATTGAAACACGTAACAATAATAGTTTAACCGCAATCACCGATAATGAATCGATAATGAAAAGATCGCAACGAAACATAGTTACACGTGTGTATGTAAATATAAATATATACACATAATATGTTGTGAATATTCGCAAAGTAAGCATCGCATGCGTTATCTAAAGTGAATAAATTGTTAGCGGATCACGTTGCACTTGTCACGGTCATCCTGAAACTAAACACATTCGATTTCTGTAAATGATCTATCATTTGCTCATAAAGTTTCTCTCTCTCTCTTCTTCTTCTTCTTCTACGGATAAGATCGCATAATTACTAAGTAAACATGTTGTGCATACAAACAAAAAAAAAAGAAAAATATTACGAAGAAACATTTAAGAAAAACATGATGTAAAAATATGTATGCACAACGTTCTTATTCTCATTATTGTTAATAGGCCCACGTTAATGCATTTATTCTCGTCGTCGTCGTATAACCGACTGACTTTTGGCTTCGAATGTTGCAAATTATGCGTACACGTCGATGAGTATACGAGGTGTATCCTATTATGTGTGGTATACCATACCTGTAAACCCACCTGTCCGTGGGTGCAGAACGCACGTGCACACGCATGTGTCGGAGGAGATTCACGGGTGAAAGTATCGATACCCACGCGATCACGCGAGTCGAGTGCATTGCGACATGCACCCGTTGCCGCCATCTTTACGCTCTAACTTTTCTCTAACGAAACCTTGACATTTTTTTTTCTTTTCTCTTATTTTTCTCTTTTCACCCTTATTTCGAACTTTTCTTTTTACTCGGGCGTGTGTTTTTTTTTTTTTTTTTCATTATTATTTTCTATTCTTATTCCTTTGTTTTATCACAAATGTTCGGGGGAAAATAAAACTTTTTCCAAAATAAAATTAACATAGATTAATATAAGTATAAATAAATATGAATTTTACTCTCTGTCGAGACGGAACTCAGTTTATTTATCTTTTATTAATTCTGTCAGATATATTTTGTTCTAATTTACATTCGTATAATCTTACCTTCTCGTAGAAAGTCCACTTATACGATAACGTAACTTCCAACCCGTTCCGTTACGTTCTATACCTAAACGCGTAAATTGCTTGAAAATTGACCGCTTAAAGTTTCGCGCTTATCTCGTACCGCATTCTTATAATGCAGGAACGAAGGAATGAAGTTCCTTCGACTGTAAAATCTTGCGATTTGCTTTGGAAAATAAATAAATAAATAAAGAAAAAAAGAAAGAAAGAAAGAAAAGAGAGGATTTTCAGTTAGGATCACAGCCATGATTCGTAACTAAGGACGATAACCGAAGAACGAACGGTTTTTCTATCGACGATCACTGTTCACCCGACCGGAAACCGGATGCGGTTCGTCGCAGCTCGCATAGTTTACCACCCGATTGAAATAATTAGTAGCATATGGAAAATTTCTAAGTGCGAATTAATTTGAAATACCAAACTTCGTTTCGTTTCATAAAACGAAAGGAAAAAAATGATAATAAAAATGTTCATGAACAACATTTGACGTATTTTATTATCGACGTTTCGTTTTTTTTTTGTCAAAATCGATGATTCCCTCTGCCACATTTTGTATACAGGTATAATACTCGACTACGAAAAGGGGTAATATATAACGTAGTGGCGAACGATGCAGTTCAATATCAATCTTCTTCTCCTCTGCGCTTGACCTAATGACCTAATTTTCTTCCTCTCGACACGCTCAACGAGCCGCAGAGCATATCCGCGGGCCTATAGAAAACGCACTTGCAACAAGCGATATATTAGCGTACAAACGGTAAGAATTTATTCTGGCCTTCGTTTGCTTTGACGATGTTGCAACATTATCATCGTAGAAACGTAGAGAAAAAGATAAAGAATATAATAAGCGCAACGCGCAGGTGCATCACTCTACTCTCCTCTTCCTCTCACTCTCTCTTTAGAAATTTATTTTTAAACGTCCAATAGAAAAACGAATAATAATATCTTATATAGTAATCGTAAATTATAATTATTTGAAATGTTGTTCATTATCGTAGATGATCATCATTCTTTTTTTATCTCTCTTTATATAATTATTTCGTATTTTCTTTATTAATATATATATATATCTATGCGTAAATATGCATAACATTCTTCCGAGTACGTTCGCGTGAAAATGAAGGATTATTAAACGACGGGTGTTTCGAAGTAATACGATTCTTTGCTTTCGCAAGATTAGTATCGTTCAGTTGGTTCCTTTATTCACGATTTATCTATTTACGATTCGGACTTGAATGTTTTACGCTTGTGATTAGAGTAGTACAAGTTTTAACTTTTACGATCTCTTATACCGATAACATTCGTTTGATTCTCGTTCCCACGTCGAGAGGCATAGCATAGCAATTTCCGTTTTCGTCGATAAAAGATACGCACTAATTTATAGAAAGAAAAGAAAAAAAAAAGAAAGAAACGAATAAAACACGCCAGATCGTATTTAAAACGCTATACGCAGAAAGTTTCGATCATTTTTCTTCATTTTGAGATCAGATGTGGAGAAAATAAAATGATGAATCATCGTTAACGAGACGGTAGAGCGTAGGTGGGAGGGTGAGACAAACACTTACAATTAGAAATAAATAAAGTAAGAGAGAAAGATAGACGAAATTGAACGATATTTATCATCGTACGTTTTCGCCTCGTAAAACAAAGAGCGGTGTTGGTAACAAGGAGCCAAGATTGTCGAGCATCGTGCGATTTGATAAACGTGCTCGACCTTTTTATCTATCTACTTCAAGATTATTCCTTCTCTTTCTTTCTTTCTCGATCCTATCGATCTAAATCTCTCTCTCTCTCTCTGTCTTTCTTTCTCTCTCTTTCTTTCTCTTTCTCTTTCTCTTTCTTATTTACAACCTTGGCAAAAAAGAATAAACAGAATAATTAAACACATGCAAATTGTCTTTAAACGATAACACCGAATAAACTGCGAACGAACGAGAAAAACGTTGAAATTTTTAACGCGAGCATAGAAAAGGAAGGAATTGCTAAATAAAAAAGTAAGCTAAATCATTTCCTTCGAATATAAATTATGACGGTTAGCTGAGTCGAGTGAAGAAAGTATTCGAAAAAAAAAAAATAATCTAAAAGTATTTGATAAAAAATATCTCGTCTCGTTCTACCTGTACCATCATTCCCACCTACGATTTCATATTAATTTAATATTTGACGTAAGAGATTGGTAAACTTTTCTTACGTTCAATATCATCAACGTGCATCGGTTGTGTTGCTGTTGAATAGAACGAAAGAAGAATTCTAATATAAGACTAGTGCTGTTAACTTAACTTCCTAGGCATCGTATAGTCGAGTTAACTTACTTAAACTATACTTTCTTTAAATGACGACGACGACGACGACGACGACGATTAGTGACACATTATTATCAATAATGTTCATTAGAAACGTTTAAAGCTTTCTTTGATAAGCGAAAGAGAGCTAGTTTATTTGTTTTTTTTTCTTTTTTTTCTTTTTCATATTTTTTCGCTAAACGATGTGATTGATACTATAATTTGTATAATTCCATAACGATAAAACACTCATCCTCGCTTCGTTATCATCTCTTTGCTTTCTTTTATATTATCCTATTTTTGTCCTCGTACAAATATCAACGCATTTTATTATACGTCTTTGACATTGCATAATAAATCATTTCATCGAGTAACGAATTAAGTTTGTAATTTAGTAAATTATCAAAAAAAAAATAGTATGCCCGGTATTTTCGTTACTTTCCAATTTATTATGCGCGCGCAATCAGAAACTTGACGCATATAACATTCGAATTATTTCATATCTAAACAACAATTCTTTTATTATTATTTCAACAATCGAGATGAAAAAATAAATTTCTATACAATTTGCCAACGCAATAATATCACTTATATATAATGGAAAACGATGTTTTTAAATGATTAAATCAAATGTTATATCAGAAAATAAGTGTTTTCTCGTATATCAGATTCGTTCTATAATATCACAGAATAGTACTCAGTATAATCACAGAATTGTTCCTCTACTATTGACTCATGCCTCGTCGTACCGTTGTAACAGAATACAAGTGTACACAAGCAAATCCATCTTTGGATTTGCAATCATCAAATCGTACGTCAATGCGTAGCTAAATTAGTAATGGAACATCTATCATCGTAATTGTTATTGCTACCACCACCACCACCAATACTGCTATAAGTTTAACTGAACAAACAAGGTATTGGCATTATTTCAAAGTTCAACTTAATAATCCAATCTAGCTATTTTATTCGAATAAATATCTAACAAGCGGGGGGGGGGGAGCAGGGGGGCTAGAAAGAGGTATGTATTATTCTTATATATCTCGTAGGTATTATTCAAAATCCCTTCGATCGGAATTTCTATGACGCACGTTAGCGAAATAACATATAGATACACATATATGTATATACGTAACGATGAGCTTGCGTACCTTCCACCAACATTTAAAATGCAACAATAATATATAATGTGAGAAGATAGAACACTTTAATAATTTCGATAGAAGGAAAACCTGATGAGAATCTATCGTTGAAATAGCGGTGTATACGAAAATAATGATTCATCATAGATCGAGATAAATCATCCATACAAACAATCGAATAAAAATAACTTTTATGGAATGTTATAAAAAATGAAGCGACCCGAGCGTGCGTACACGGATAGGAAAAATCTTAGGGCGTACTAAAGCCTTCCCGAGAGTAAAGTGGGTCATCCGTTGCACTGCGGTATCTGCGATGTATATCAAGCGACTGCTAGTTTACAGCCATTTCCAAACGAACCTTTCCAAAGCAAACTCCTTTTACTACTCTTCTTTTACTCGACAACCCGAGGAATAATGTGCGTATTTACTTTTATCTTTGCGACCTTCTCAAATAATTAATATTACCACACTAATAATATATTGTTTAGTAGTACAATGCACTCGCGACCAAGAATAAAGAAAATAGGAATAATAAATTGTACAATTTATTTTCTAAACCAAATCCGTAAAATGAATTTTTTATTCCGTTGCCCTTTTAATTATACGTATCTTTTAACACGTTCGCAAACGTGAATGCTATAGCATTCAAATTTGAAAGCCAATTATTTTGAATTTTATTTGATATAACCTTAAGTTTTTGTAATTATTATACCTGTAAAGGTAATAATGACTAACTGATTCTTTAAATATATGATAATTTGACTACCCTTATAAAATGTGTTCAATCAAATTTATGGATATTACAATTAATTTGAAAATAAAATGACTGTGTCACTTTTTTCCCCCTCGCTGAAACTTGAACTGTTTCGCTAGCGTGTTATAATAACGAGATGATCTTTAAACGTTGAACAAATGAAATATTGCACAACGTAAGATAAAAAATCGATAAAGTCTATGTGCCTTTGAATGATAAGCACTGTTAATTTTATTATTTCTTCATTTAACAGATATACCGTCGACAAAAACAATGAAAAAAAAAAAGAAAAGAAAAAAAAAATAACAAAGCTTATCATCATCTATTTTCGTCATTTTTCGTAACGTCAGGATTTCAGGAGACTCAATCATCATCTTCTTCCTCTTCTTCTTCTTCTTTTGTCGATGTTTTCGTTTTCTTACTAAACGACGAGTGCTAAAAGAAAATACGCTTGTTAATCGTTTTCTTTTTCTTTTTTTTCGCTTTATCAATTGCTCGATCTAAGAAGTTCTTTGTACTGTCGAAAAGCAATTATCGATTTGCAGTCGCGATAATCCGACTTGTGAAACGTAGAAAAGGAAATAATCATATAATTAGCGGGAAGAGAGTAAGCATGGTTACTTCATCGCAAAACTCTGCCGTTGCGCTTACAACGATCCCTTTCCTTGCTTAAATTTATATTCACTTTTCCAGCAGAGTTTCTAAACGTCTATGATTTGCACAAGTAGTAGTAGTAGTAGTAGTAGTAGTAGTAGTAAAGAGCGTAGAAGAAGGTTCAACTCTGCGCTCGTTACACAATTTTCCTCTTCGTCAAAGTGCCAGCAGCGAAGCCAATTGACAAGGTACTTTTGTGGAATCAAAACGTTCTCTCTAAGAGAACGAACTAATCTTATCATTTAAAATTATATTACCCCCATTGTGCATACGATTTACCTTAGAAAATTCAAACTCCGACGCTTATTTGTTCGTTCCGTCTAAAAAAAAAGTCTAAAGTTTTCGAGCCTCGAACTCGATTTCTACATCGAAATTCGAACAACACGTTTGCATCCATACGTTTCCAAACGAAAAACCGTTTCGTATTCGCTACGAAATAGAAATTATGTACAACAATTTCCTCTCTCTCTCTCTCTCTCTCTCTTCCTCTAAACTATGATAATTTCACTATTATAATGGTGTATTATGAAACTAAATACATTCTGACCATAACTGGAACAAACGTAACTAGAAAAAACCGGTAGGAAAGTTGAAACAATTGAAACAGCAATTGCATTTGCACCAATCTAACATCATCATCATCATCATACGCGACAATAGAAATAGGAGAAAAGGGGAGGAGGGGTATCAAATAGATTCGAAGGAGAAACTCTCGAGTCATTCCCGATTTAATCTTACAATTAATGAACTCTTCCTTGTTAACGAGAAGTCAAGAAAGTTTCGATCAGCAATACGGCTACCACCAATCGATTAAATTATTCGCATGCGAACAACCATGGAAAGCGTAAATACGCGCCATTGCATAAGTATATCCGGTGTGCCGAGAAAACCGCGTCGACCTTGGAATATCAAAATAGACGGAGACACAATGTGAACACGTAAAACGATCCTTCGTTTCAGGATTCTGTATATGTATAATAATGTATGCGTATGTATGTGTATGAATGGATGCAGGACGTGTAGAAGAAAATTCTTATAGTCTACGAGCTCTTCACACGCAAAGAAATAATACATACTATATATATATATATATACAGTGACTCATGAAAATATTTGAACACTTACCATGAAATATTATTAACATTGGATGGAGGTATGACTTTCTAAATTATATAGGTAAAGTTTCAAACAAATCTAAATACACGTATATATACAATAGTTATAATTAGATGATGATAATTACGATGACTCGAAGTATGGTAATCCATATCACCAAGTGTTACAGAAAAAGTTAGTAAAAAGTATGTATAATCGTTTACAAGATGTTATTAATCCCAAAGGTGGTCCTACTAAATATTAATTACTTCGAATATTTTCTTGGTATTTCGAATATATATATATATATAATTTCGAATGTATATAATATTTCGAATACTTTTCGCAATCTTTACGTTCGTAAGAAATAAATCATATATTTATCGAATTCGTATACATTGCCGATCAATAGTTTGGATATATATGCGAGGATGGATTGGAAGGTTTTTTCGCTCGGTAATTTGCATATATGCGATATAATAATATTATATAATAATGAAATGATATTTTAAGGATAAAAAAGAAATATTTGATTATATAATACTTACTCCCTCGTGGTCCGTAGAATTTGACGGAAAATTCATTGAGTCCTCCGAGGATCGTCACCTCGTGTTTGCTTTCTATTCTGTTTTACAATATTAAATTAAGGAAAAATACAATGCTGAAATAATGAATCGTTTTAAAGGTAAATTGATGAATCTAATGTTATTAATCGTGTCAAATGTAATAAGAAATTAAAAAAAAAGATTGGAAATGTCAATATTCTTTTTTTTCTCTCTCTCTTTCTCCATTTCTCGATCGTGAAAACACGTTTTACAATCTCAGGAGAACTGACATAATCGTTACGATCGATGCAACGTAATGTAACGTAACAACGACGATGTAATCCATGCGTGAGTTACAATAAATGTTTATTTTTATTCTTTTTTTTTTTTCTTTTTTTTTGGGGGGGGGGGATTAATTTAAAACTTTTGCCAAGATGGGAAACGACACGTTTTATCATCGTCTATCGAATATCATACACACGTTGGTTGACGCAGGTCATTGGCACGATTTTATCTCTTGCGAGTAAGCAGAACTTTCAATGAACTTCGTTAGAAAGTGCTCGCTTATTCCTACGATCGTTACTTTTCCTTTTTATTTATTTATTTTTTTTTTCTTTACATTTTTATATTTTTCATTACGAATAAATTTGTGTATGCAATAAACACAAAAGTTGAGTGAAACGAGCGTTGCAGAATGTTCGTTCGACTAAAAACCGGGATTATGTTATAACATCGATCAACCAATCCCAATGGGAATAAGGTCAATTCATTTTATTTTCCAATTACTACTATCGATATTGTATACCGATGAAAGAAAATAAAATCAATAGTTCGAAAATATAATGGAAATCAATTTTCGTTTTAAAAAAAAATATTCAAAGATCGCAAACATATGAATGCATTCTATTCGAAAAACAAAATAAAAAAATAAAAACAAAAAAAAGAAAAAGAACAGAACGATGAACTAGAGGAAAGTAAAAAATTTACTCCATTTCCTGGACGCGCATACGTTTTCCAATATACATAACACATATTTCGAAGTATTCCACAACACGAGACACGAAACGTGCAAAGCGTGGAAACCGCGAATAACTCGTTCGCTCGGATTCATTAAATTTAGCTCTATCATCATTACGGAATAAAAGTAAACACGAATAGAGAAAGGAAAGGAAGAAAATATTCAAAGGAAAAAAAAACAAGAGACAGTAAAAATCTAATTAAAGGCTACGGTTTAAACATACACAGAGATAGAGAGAAAGAGAGAGAGAGAGAGAGAGAGAGAGAGAGAGAGAGAGAGAGAGAGAGAGAGAGAGAGAGAGAGAAAGAGACAAGCTTCGTACTAGAAAAGATAAAGAATATATAAAGTTATCTTCTGACGCAAATTGGGTTAGATAAATCTTTGTGTTATTTATAAATAAAGTTATAAATACATTAATGCACGCATTTATATTTCAAATAAATACAAATATATATTCCTTAGTATAATTATTAAATTACTTTCATGATTAAATCTAAACATTTCGTTTCAAATATTACTAGAATTTACAATACGAAAATTAGAATCTTGTTCTCGTTTTTTTTATCACGATTACGCATTGCGAATCGAGATAATCGAAAAAATAATCGAAACAAGAAGAACGAAAAATAATAATATTATGAACGATAAGGTGCCGCTCGTTGTGTGCAATACATAATAATAATAATAATAAAATCCAACGGTAGAAACGGCTACGATTATTATTAAAGTTAACGATAGTGAGACCCCGAGATAGAGAAAAGTTTCCTATCTAGATTGTAAACGTAAGAAAACGTAACGATTCTCTTCCCAGTGAAAAAAGAGAAAAATAGATAAAGATAGATAGATAGACAGATAGGTGGGATCGTTATAAAAATTGCGTTTGAATAATCAGTAGTTTGTTCCTCGTACTTCGTTCGAATATATAACCGTGGAACGTTCCGTTTCCGAACGCTTTGGAATACCTAATGAAAACTCGTGTCGTTATGTTTAACGAACGGTCCCCCAACCGTTTTCCTACTTCCACGAGGAAATACGCTTGCGCGTTCGAGGTCACACAGTTTCTAGATTGTGCTTCACATTCAAAGATTCCTTCTCTTTCCTCCTTCTCCTCCTCCTCCTCCTCCTCCTCCTCCTCCTCATCCTCCTCATCCTACACCTACTATTCCTCCACCTTTCCTCTTCCTATATCACGATACCATACTAAGACTAATGTAAGTCACTAAGTCATCGATCGGTTTCGAACTAAATTTCTACAAATTCCAATCGATCCGGAATGTTCTCTCTCTCTCTCTCTCTTTTTCTCTTTCTCTCTGTTCAACATGGGACACGCGTAAACATTTAATCTAAAACTGTCGGATTAATCCGAAGGGGAGGAATTATTCATCGTCGCGTGATTTCTTGAGAAAAAAAAAAGAAAAAAAAACAAAGAATGACACTAACTATTCTCCTTCAAATCACCGGACTTGCAACGTCTCGAGGACGCACGTATCGTTTCAATAACCACCTACAATGAAACGACCTTTCTGCTTACGATTCCATCAAGGTTTCCTCCTGTGCCTTCCACGTTGAACAAAGCACAGTGAGATGCGTTATATACGTTCTATCTACTAAACTTTCATACCAATTGTATAAAGAGAGAATTTCAAAATCTAATGTTCGAGGAACAAAAAATCATGTTGCTACAGAGTAATATCATTTCTACGTATATGTTTTTTTTCTTTTTGTTTTTCTATTTCGAAAGGTGCGTCCCGATGCCTCACCCAAGTATCACGCTAGTGTATTAAGATCTAACAAAGTTTGATGATATAATCGATAAAAAATCAAGCAACTTTGCAGGATTTATGCAAACGTAACCAAGTCCTGAACAATTATCAACTGATTATCCTAGAACGTTTATTACTCGTACGATTTCTCATGTCATCCCATAACTATTATTTTCATAATTCGCGATAGCATAGAAAAATGAACTTATTTTCTCTTTGATATATTATATCGGTAATAAGAAAAACAATATTATTGGATCGAATTGCAATTTCCATTGGTAGATTCGTTCGGGATAGTAAACGAGAAATCGAATTGACGTCGATAAACATGTTCGCGCGGTATAACGAGAACCTATTCCATTAAAGCGAAACCATCAGGGATCTCTCCTGTTGATAGCCCTGTTCATTAGAATTTAATCGATTTGCTTAATATCCCAGAAACATACGAAGAAAATCATTCGGTTAGATGACACTCTAACCGTTATAACATTTTCAGAATTTCAATAATGCGTTTTCGCAAAGAATTTGATCGTTGAAAATCTCTTGGTTCAGCCACCTGACAAGAATTTTCCTGAGAAAATATTTGTATTTGTTATACGTACGACGTCTACAAAATTAAAACTAATATTAGATACGTTTATGTTAAACGTCGTGTCGTACGAATTTTTTTACTTTGTCGACTAAAAAAAACAAGAAAAGAAGGAATACGAAGAAGTACTTGGTCAAGATAGTTTGATGAGTCAGGGGCAAACACGGTTTGAAATTGGTACATAAAATCTGACGTGGTGGTTGCTCGAACGTTGAAGAAGCAAACGACGAAGAACACGGTGTGCGATATAAAAGGAAAGGATTTATTGTAAACCATGAGAGGAAGAGAAGACCAACCCGAACGACAGAGCACAAGCGTCATTCCATTTTCGAAAATTAAATTGAAATAGTGATTTACGGGATAGAGAAGTATTTTAACGCGACGTTGAACTCAAATAAGAAGATACGTAAAATATATAATTCAACGTGGCAAATGTTACATTCATTTTTGGTGGTTGCTGCATACTTATATATATACTTACATATATACTTCGAAAATAATATTTCACATTTTTTACGATATCTACTAGATAGTATTATTTGAATTTGTAATATTTGTTTTAATAGAAATAATGAGCAACTAGATAACTCAGAAAGATGAAGCATTGTTTTGACAACTTAAAAATTATCAAGATTTTGATAATCGTAATCTATTGATTGATAACGTAATCTATTACATAAATAAGAAATAAAAAAAAACAAAACAAAAAAACTAGCGATCAACAAACGCACGTATATATAAATATATTAAAATGTATAATAGAAAAATTTGCAAACGTACGCTATTCTCTTATTATTTTCCAATTGTTCATTAGCATTGATAATCCCCGTTTCGCGAAACCTCTGAATCACCAATCTACAAATTAGAATTAAAAATTCAAACGTATGATAATGTCGTTGTCATTGTGTTATCGTCATTGTATCGATGACGCGTTAGAAAATCTTTTATATCATTTTTACTTATACAATATAGAAAAGTGTTTTTTGTAAGGATTTAATTGACTGATTGAATAAACGAAAGGACTATTACTAAGCGTACGTATATGCGTTACTAAAAGGTTCTCGAATGCGACGAGCGAAGTTTTCGATCTCTGAAAATAGATCATCCAACGTAAGAAACGTCGACAAGTGTGTATGTAAACTGCGTCACAGCAGGACCGAAAGATAAAAGCCCTAAGAACGTAAAGTTAACAGAAAGGTAGCTATATATCGATGAAAGGAAGGGTTCCAAAAGAAGAAGAAGAAGAAGAAGGACAGCGATAACCAGTCAACATGTTTGCTTTGCTCGTCGAAGCGTTTGCCCTGACTTTAACGCAGCTAGACACAAAGACTGATCGATATATCGCGGAAAAACGCGGGAGAGTTTCCCTTATAAGCAAACTTTTTCCTAATTGTTTGTCCTTTTAAAGGAAACATCAAAAAAAAAAAAAAAAAAAAAAAAAAAAAAAAAAAAAAGAACAAGAACAATCGTTCGCATGAATTTTCTATAATATCTCCTAATATTACAATATAGGAAGTAATTTTAACTGGATATGCAGCATTTGTATANCATGTTTGCTTTGCTCGTCGAAGCGTTTGCCCTGACTTTAACGCAGCTAGACACAAAGACTGATCGATATATCGCGGAAAAACGCGGGAGAGTTTGCCAACAATATCTGATAAATCATATCACAACAAGTTATCATAATAATTATCATAAAAAAAAAAAAAAAAAAAAAAAAAAAAAAAAAGAAGAACAAGAACAATCGTTCGCATGAATTTTCTATAATATCTCCTAATATTACAATATAGGAAGTAATTTTAACTGGATATGCAGCATTTGTATAGTTCGTAAGTTCGACGAAAGTAGGTAAATACGATAGTTCGTCCGTACATATAGGAATAAATGTCATTTAACACTTAACATAACGCACGACCGCGAAACAACCGGTTCTCTAAAATACATTTTCAAGTCAGTTTCTGCATTCTCTTCAAAATGTTATTAGTTTTCTATTTATTTTTATTTGATTTTACGATAATTATTATAATAAATATTACTTTGTCATTATATAAATATTTGAACTTATACGAAATCGACTATTACGTGGAAGTAATTATTACAAAAAAATACTTTAAAACTAGTTAAAAAAAAAAAACTAGTTGTTGAATTAGCAAATGTAATACTGTAAGTGTAGTGCTAAAGTAAATAAAATATCGATTCGTGTATCAAGTTATCCACGTAGCGGAGTCATCGAAGCGACGACAAAGTGTTACGTCAAACGGGAAGTAAATTTTCGTAGCTCGAGGTCGATTCCTACCTAAGAAAGATTAAACGAGCATAGTAGATGTGTGCGTGCTCGCGTTTTAAACGCACGCGTATTTACGTAGGCGATAAATTCGCGCATTGAGCGTGCGTTTTTTTTATCGATAATATACACGAAATACCATTATCGAATGTAAAACTGTGAACGCGGGAAATTTGAAATCATTGTAATTCCTTTCGATCGATACGATCTACCAATCAAAACGCCGCAAAATAATATTTTTATATCGAGACGAGTTTTATCGATTCGTAGGAAAAAAATTTGAAAAAGAAAAAAAAAAAAAGAAACGAAAAGAGCGGTCAAAGGAAACGTACGACCAAATTTCGCGAAAAAGCATTGATTCGCCCCCGATGTGCGTCAGAGTAACGTTCGCACGACTACGTTCTATAGTCGTCCGTTTTATTTTTACGTCCAACTGCGAAGAGCCGTGTCATTCGTACGTTCAACAACGAATTGAGGCCGAAAAGCGATGCGACGTCTCCATTACTGATCTTTCACGCTCGCGTTATCTCCCACCCTACTTTTCCAACCCCTTTCAAAACATACGCTCGCAGCAAAGCTCATTCAACTTCAAACCCCGTGATTGATTGTCGATTAAAATGTCTTGTGTGAAATTTTGTGGGTTCAATCTATATAATATATTTATACTATCGAAAAAACGCATATGCGTAAATTAAACAAATATACATGCGTCTAAAAAAAAATAGGAAAAAGTATGTAGAATTTAAAAAAATGTTCAAAGACAAGATGAATTGAGAGAAGAAGAAAATTCAGAGAAGCTTAGGTATAAAAGTAAAATAATTTGTTGAACAACGTGGCCATTGGGAAGGAAAACTACCTGCCCTTCTTTGTCTGCCACGTATTCGAAATGATCATATCGAGTAGATGCAACGGACGAAGATGAATACGCGCGTGCGTATTTTTCAAGTGTATAATCTCGAACTAGAATAAACTTTTAATCCTAGAACTACTACCCCAGGTTTTTAGATGTTAAATGAAGATTTCATCGTTTTTCAGTACTTTATTTTATTTAAATCGATTTTTCACCGATTATACTTTAGTAAAATTGAATTTGCTCTTCACTATTCTCTTTGGCATGAAAAAAACAAAAAAATTCATATACTTAAAAGTCTGATTATTGCTAAAAGAATAGTTTTTAGGCCAAAAAACCCTTGGGGTAAATATACACCCCAGTTTGTAGTTTGGGGGTTAAAAAATAAGTTTGTAGTTTTCTATAAATCACGAGAAGAGAGTATGGGAAAGATGTATGTATGAATTTAAGTAAATAAGTACAACCAGCTGTTTTAAAAACAGCTATCAGCTGTACAGCTATCGACAGGTATATCTGAAAAAAAAAAAACAAAAAATGAAACACGGTTGTTCTTTTACTTTCTCGTCTGTGGTCGAAGGTGTCGACGAACGTTGCCGTTGGCCCGTGTGACATTGATGCAACTTGCCGTGCAAATTTCTGCCGTGCAAATTTCTACCGTGCATTCCTCCCCCTTCCTATGCCCCCCTCCCTTACCATACACTCTCATCTCTACCAAATTCTTCGTTGTTTCCCTCTCTCCGAAAAGAGCTTAAATGTAGTAGTAATAGAAGTAGAAGTAGAAGTAGAAGGTAAAAGTAGTAGAAGCAGAAGCAGCAGCAGCAGGAGGCATGGTCGATCGTATGTGCCCCCAATAAACAAACGGACCGCCGCCGTCGACACACACACACGCTGCTTATACATAAAAACATGCATACCTACAAACATACGTGTGCCGCGCATCATGCTCTCGCTCACGTACGTACACACACTCGTTTTCTCTCTATGCATGCACTTGCAAAGAGAAAACATGTATGCGTATACGACGAACGAGTCACTCACTGTTGTGTTCTATTGTGAACACGTGTGTATAGTAGAGACAGCAGCAGCAGACAGAGTCAAACAAAGAACAGAGAAAGAGAATGGAGAGAAACAAAAAAATATGAACGAATGCTTCGAGACACAAGGGGTTGTTGTTGATTATTAGAGAAAATTTGTAAGAATAACGGATAGAATTAAGCAATAATTTATAAAATATAAGGATACAGTTTGATAACGTCCGTGTCCATACGACGTTTTCCAGCGCTGGGGGACGACATATTTGTCGATTATTATTGGCAAGTGTAAGAGCCCTTCGTACCCGAGTCCTTGGATCAGCTGTGCTGCTCGATCGTAGCTCCACGCACGAAGGTCCTCCACAAGAGTCCGCTACGTATCCAGCGCGCACGGCTTCGTGAACTCACGGGTAAACGCTGCTCCTCCGCCTCCTCCTCCTCCTCCACCGCCACCACAAACTCCTCCTCCTCCTCCTCCAACGCCAAAGCAACCGACTCCTCTTCTTCTTTTCTTCGTCTTCTTCTTCTTCTTTTTCCCCTCCTCCTTCTCCTCGTCGTCGTCTCCTTTTCACGGTAACACGCACTCTGTCCGTCGCACCAACAAAGCTCCTGAATATCGAGCACCGAGAAAGAAAAACAAAGACACGCGCACCCAATAATCACCGTTCGACGTCTTCGTCTTCGTTTTCGTTTTCGTTTTCGTCTTCGTCTTCGTCGTCGTAGTTGTTTTGACTTTCGTTTCGATTATCGTCAATGTGCCAATGCCAGAAAGAGAGAAACTTTCAAATAAACAGTGACGCGCGATATACACTGCTGACAACGACTTCGTCGTCAACGGCCAACCAAATTTCTTTCTCTTTTTTTTAGACGAAAAAATGAATCCCTGTTGGATGATTTAAAGTAAACGACAAAGTGAACAAAATAGACTCATCCTCCGAATCTCAAACCGAATCTGAACTAACGTCAGATCGTCCGTCCGTCAATCCGTCCGTCCCTTCCTCTGTCCTTCCGTCTCACTCTCTCCTCTCCTCACCACTCAACTCTACTCCTCTCTCTCTCTCTATCTCTCTTTCTCTCACCCCTCCGACCCAACCGATAGTACAACCAACAGTACGACCGATCGACCGATAGACCGAAATTACTTGACGTGTCGTCGTATATCCTCCACCCTTTGTTCTCACACACTCCTATAAGCCAATCAAGAGAGGACTCCTCTGTAAACTTCAAAGAATCATTTCGTTGTCGGTCGTTCGCTACGAATAACCACGAGCAATGCACGATCTCAAGTGCGTCTCTTCGACGCACAACAAAACAATGTCCCTTTCTTCTGTTTCTTTCTTTCTCTTGCTACCATCGGCTAGCTCTCTTCTCTTCTCTTCTCTACCCCCCCTCGCACTACTCTACTCTCTCTCTCTTTCTCTCGCACTCCTTCACACCCACCACGCACAACCTGTCAACCCACGGACGACTTCACTGCATCTGTGATACTGCTCTCTCTCCTCGACGTGCTGGACTCTCCTTACCACCACCACTCCACTCATCAACTCTTTCACTCTCTCTCTCCTTCTCTCTTTCTGCCACTACAGCGACCCATACGAGCTTCGACTCATTCACGCCAGAAAGCGCTCTACCGTTTGAGCCACCATCTTGTTCCAACAGAAGCGGGCTTTTCAAACTTCTCGTGCATTCAACATTTTATTACATTAGAACCTACGTTAGCAGGTTCTCGAAATTTCTAGAACGACCTTATCTATTCTCTTATATACATATATATATATATATACATTATATGATATTTTTTTATTTTATATACGAAGAAACGTCATATTCTCTATGCCAAAAATCGAACATTCCAAAGTTAAATGTCAGTTTGACTAAATATTAATTCGTACTTCTAACAAAAATGAATAATGTGTAACATTATGCATGTTTCATCTATGTCTAACCTATATATTAATCGTTAAATGACTTACCAAAAATAGAAGATGAATCTATTTCCGTACAATACGGTAGAAAAATACGTTCCGATATATTTTTTTCTCTTCGAATTGAGAAGAATTTATTTCTATTTGATATTAATCGAATTTCAAAGGAAGTATTATGTTTCATAGCGTGAAAAATCGATCGCTTGAAAATTTAATAACGTCGAATAAACACCTTTTTCAATAACTAATGCAAGATCCATCGTTGATTACGTTATATTACGTTACGTTAGCGACGTTAAATTAGTTGCGTATCTACGTATAGAAAGTTGATAAACAAAATAATATTAGGTACAATGCGAAGATAGATGTCTTATGTGGCCTGTAATTGGTCAAATTTTGGCAAGTAAGAGAAATCTAGATTGGTCGCACCAAAATCAAATTTTTAAAAATATTAGTTTGGGGAAAAAGAAATCCATTATTTTGTTGATGGATGGCTTTAGTGATCGATATCTTGTAAAGTATAGATCAAGCAATTTCAGATTTATGCTCGTTGTAAAGATGACATTTCACACTAAAAAAAATTCTGTTGCTGATTTTTGTTTGGTCCATTCAATGTTGGTCATTCATGAATTACAAGATGTTAAAAAAGGAAGTTAACGAAGAGAAAATTCGGTACATTTTAGTTTTTCTTTGATAAAGGCGAAAATGCAAGCTAGGCGGCTGAAATTGTGAATGGTGTTTATGGTCTCGATAGTGTAACAGCTAATAACGTGCAAAAAAAAAATGAAAAAAATGAGATCCGTAAAAATTTGGATCTCTACTGTCAACAACTGGACCGTTTGAAGTTAGCAATTGACTAGAAACGTCCAAAATTGGCCAACAGGAGAGGTGTTGTATTCCTTAGGACAACGCCAGGCCACACACGTCTATAGTGACTCGCCAGAAACTCTTGAAGCTTGGTTGGAAAGTTTTGGTGCATCCACCTTACAGTTCAGACCTGGCAACAAGCGATTACCATGTTTTTCTTGCATTGCAAAACTTCCTTAGTGATAAGAAATTGACATCAAGAAAAAATTGCAAAAATCGATTACTAGAGTTGTTCGACAATAGGGACCAAAACTTTTACGAGAGTGGCATTATGAAGCTATCTTTAAAATGGCAACAAAATAGAGAACAAAACGGTCCATATTTGACCCAAATCGGACAATCCAAGACATGTTAAATAATTCTTTATTTATTTATTTCTTTTTCCCCAACCTAATATTTTCTTTTTCTATTATAAAAACATTCGAATAGTAGTAAAAAAAAAAATGTTAACACAATTACACAACAGATGTAATTATTTATTAAAAAAAGTATAAAATTTCACTTAATTAGAAAATGTATATAAATGTAGAGATTAGAAAAAATTTCACGTCATATTAAAAAATGCAGTGTTTCCTGAAGCACAATTAATTTCATTTCTATTATAAAATACAATATATAATCTCTTAAAATGTTCATGTTCGTTAGTTTGTTTCCTGAATAAAATATATTGTACTTTTGTTCCACCTGCATTGTAGTATATTAATAATTAAGTATAAAAAATCAGTCAAAATGATACCAAATGAATGTAATGATTTTGCATGTCAAAAATACATAAATGTATTAAATATCTTAATAGATCGCTATCTTTTAAGTTTTATCTATAATTTTATCTCATCTACAAGTATTCTACATAATATTCTAGTTAATATTAAGCAACTTATTTAAAACATAAGAAGCAATATTGCACTTTGAATAATATCCTGAATACTTGACTTGCAATAATGTTTCTCTCATTAAATTAAATTATTTCTAATTTTAATACGTAAATTATATAATATATATGTAGTACTACATATATTATATATAACTACTATTTACTTATAATCGTCATATAATGACAAAATGTGATAAAGAACAGAATAATTAGATTCAATTGACTTGGCACAAAATTTCTTATTGATATTTGTGTTCTCTAAAATATTCGATCCAACATGCAAACTACGTTATGAATTGTGCAAATCATACTAATAATAAAACGTGACATCCTATATACTATGAGAAAAATGCTGCTATAGTTTATGGATATAATCTCAATTCTAATTTGTTTTATAATATTGTTGTATAAATGTATGATTAAATGCAGGTTTATAAAGATTAAGTATAGATATAATAATTGCCTGGCAATGATATGTACTATAACAAGACGGAACGGGTTCTTCTCTTAATTAATGAAATTCATAAAATACGATGAACTAAATACATGATCGATCTATTTTCTATTTCTATTTTCTATATTACTTCTATATTGCTTATAAAATATTCATCGACTGCTAATTTAAAAATATTAATACCATTTGTAAATTCTATAATTGCACATATAATGCAAAATAATTAAGTTAAACAAATACTGGAGTAAATTTTCTATAGATAAAAATGATCTCTCGTATACTGTTTGTTTTTGTCATATCATAAGATATAAGATCTACAAATTTTCTCTGGATTTGCAAATGTTGACTATAGCGATAAAAAAATCTTTTTATGAAAATTGTATAAATTTTATCAAGATTTTTGTATAAGATATACAAGTTCATTTTTGTTCACTCTATTTGTTCTACCAATATACTGGAAGAAAAAAGTTTCTGCTTTTCGATATTTTTTTTTATCTAATCCGTCAAGCAATTGGTTTCATACTAATTTTATATATCACACATTATTATATAAGCGATATAGTAACTTAAAAGCTCGATTAAGTAGATTAAAAATCCCAAATATTTGGAACAATAAATAGTTTTGGCATGTAAAATTGATGCTTTAAATATTATCAGTCGTATCCGCTATTATTATCCTGTGAATACTGAAAAATCTACAGATCTTTTCTACTTTTTAACAAATAAGTACTTAAGATGTTTATTCCACAGCTGTTTTTCGGGCAAATGCTGTGAGTGATAACATCTCGTTGGGATCAGTAGGAAGCCGCGAGAATTCAATCTCTTCGCTAATACTGTGTTCTGTAATTCACGATTTTACATAATATAGAATTTTAATCACGATTATCCATTATGTATTTTTATGCACGAGCTAAAGATATCTATAAATATTAAATAAGTTGTAATCAAATAAAATAATAAGAGATATTTACCTGATGGTTCAATCGGCCATTGTTTATGAGATGGTGCATATAGACATAATAATGCTAAAGTATAAATGTTCCACATCCCATAAACTCCAGTGAAAAATGCAGATGTCATTTGTAATTCTATTTCCTCGTCCCACTTCCATTGTCCTTCTGCGACCTATTTCAAATATACAGTTGTATTTTTTTTATTATGACAATGAGAAATTAGTAATTTTACAAATTTCATCAGGAATCGTTACCTGGCCAAGAATAAATCCGATAACTGTTAATGAAGCGCATAATAATGTGGCAATCATCAAAAACTTGAAACGATATATCACACCTTCGTAATGTAAACGACGTGCTGAACTCATACTAGGTAAGGTAGCTCTTTTCACACTTATATTCATAAATACTTTCCATATCATATAAGTTAAAAATATTAAATATACACCTGCCGATATTCCAGCCAAAATGATAAAAGATAACTATTATTTATTACATAAGGAATAAATATTAAAAATAAATTATAGTATAAATTTACATAGTTTTGTAAATATAAAAGGATACTGCCATTTTAGTACCGACATCTGTTACCCATATTGAATAAAATGGATTTCTTAACTGTACTCCACGTTCACACATATCGAAGATGAATAAAGATAAGCATCCTATACCCACTGCAGAAAGATGACGCCAATAACATTTTAAGGAATTCCTTTGATCGCCCTCCTAAACATATTTCATTATATTTTAGAAAAAAATTAATATTAATTTTAATATAACTTTTAATAATATTTTTTAAACATACCTGAACCTAATGTAGCATCATGCAATATCACATGAAACGAAAAATATAATTAATAAATTTTTTGGGAATATAAATAAAATAAAAAATAACTATTTGTATATAAAAGAAAAGGATTCTTACCATAAGATGTTCTCCTGCAAAAACAAGCCAGAAAGATAAAAGCGTTGCATAAAATATTCCTTGTCTGATATCACCCAACAGAAGCATAAATGGCATATCGTATGCGAGAGTTAAATATTCCATGGGTACTGTAACAATTAATATATTATTTATACTTATTAATTGTACGTCAATGTAATTAAATATTTGTATAAATAATTACGTACAATTTAAAAATGTTAAAGCCATTCCTAAGGCCAAGAGCATATATTCCAAAAGTGCAGGTAATCTTGATAACATGTGAACTCTTCTCCAGTACCATATCAAAAAACAGATCACAATCGGGAAGAAAACAGTTTTAAGACTTACCCATACTTTCGTAAATCCACCATTTTGATTAATAGCCTGAAATGAAGTTAAAATATTATATATGTTATTTACAATTAATTAAAATGAAAAATATAATTATATTCAATGTATTACTTACAGTAAGCCATAAATCTGTTATGTGCCCTAAACCTTGATTAATGTTTCTATCAGTATCAGCAGGAATACGAATATTTAATAAATAATAATCATGGAATAATGATCCCAATTCAAACAAAGGTACAACACTGCAATTATAGTTATATTGTTCCATGGCCTACAAATAAACCAATATTAATGAATAAATCATAAATGATTGACTGACTTGAAAAAAAAAAGGTTCATCATTTACATCATCAATGCTACAATCCAAGATTCTTTCTATTATAGAAGAAGCATACGGTTTCCATGCATCTTCCGGATCTTCTTTATTTCTATAAGCAAGCCTTGCATCTAGAGTTATTTTATTTCTAGGTGCTATTATATGAAAAAAATAAATTATTGTTAAAATCAGTAAATATTAACTACACAAATATGTACACATATTTATATAATTAATTTACCAATTTGAATTTGACTATGATATACAATATCCACCTGCAAGACTCCTATAAGATTTTGTTGCCATCTAGAATAATCCAATTGCAAGTTACCACGCGGACCAGGCATCTGCAATATAATTTCAATAAATTTCTTGATTTTACATATATTTCTGCAATTTAATATCACATTAAAATAATAATAAAATACTTACCAAAAATGTATAGACCACCTGATGTGCTTGATGATGGCTGTCTAAACTAAAATGATTTATATCCACATAAGTACAAGAGCCTTTGCCTCTTGAATAAAACCATTTTCCTGCACCTGGTTCAGTTCCATTAATTCTTATATCTTCACAAGGTGTACCTAATATATTTTGGCTTGTAGCAGGTGTAGGTGCTAAAAAATAATAATTTTTATTAATAAGAAAAATAAAAAAAGTGTAACTAAGGCTGTTATTATTTTAAATACAAATTTAATACCAAATAAAAAACATAAAATCCAATTGATAAAGGACAAAATCTAATAGCATCATACAATCAAAACAATAAACAAAATTTACCTATCCATTGTTGTGTGACAATAAAACATTATTTAAAACAAATAAAAAAGTTATTATTTCCCAAAATAAAACATTGAAATAGAAAATAAGAATAAATTGTTAAGATCAACAATACAATCTTTTATAATACAATTATAAATGTAATTAAGATTACTTACCTATGAAGCCGCCTATTAAAAAGCACACAATTTGTGCAATAATAAGCATAATTACTAATACCGAAAGTTTCTTGCCGCTTAAGTTTTCTATTATTGTACCCTGCATTCTGTCAATGTTTTAATACAATTAATCTTTTAAATAGACGAAAAGCTTTGCTAGATGTAGAAAATTGTATCGAACAAAAGCGTTTCTCGAGAACTTGAGTTTATTGGCCCCTCCATTTGCAGGACTCTACGCTAAACCACCGTATTACTCTTTAAAGGTCTTTCATGATTGGCTTATTTAACGTAAACAGAGAAAGACAGAAATGATTTTTATTGTATCAAATATGTAAACATGTTCGCTGAATTCTTTATTTTATCATAATCATAACTACGAGCATGTTCAAAATTTAATAAATTAATATCTATTTATTCGTTTATTTCAGAAGATGAACATTTTGTAAATTCCATGTAAAAAAATATCAACATAGCAATTGAAGTACACTAAGATCATAGTTAAAGTTTGATAACTCAGAAATGAATCATTTTTGGAACTACATTAATATTATCTATTTTTCAACTGTCCATTTATTGTTAAAGTTTAGTCGTGTATTTATGTTACACCCTGTATAATATATATGTGTGGTTCATTGAAAGGAAAGTTACTTGCGCGACTTCTATGCTCTTGTACGCGACAGTTTTGTCCAGATCGGACGAAACGAAACGAGCCTAGAGAACAGCTTGCAGTTTATAGTCTTTGTAAGAATAACTTCTGAATCAGTTATTCGATTATCGGAGCTTAGAAATGTCTGTTGCTTTTATTCGGAAATAATTATTTCGTTTTGTAATATGTGTATTGTCCATATTAGTATTTTGTATTTGTACAAATGTAAACTTGTGTGATGTTCGTACAGTTTTGTTGTAGAAAGTCGGGATAATTCTAAGACATCGTCTACCTTAAATGTGTCCATCGGTTTCTCCTCCCGTCCCTACTTTAATCATTATCACAAAATGTCATGTGACCTACGGACGGATGGAGTTATTTTTGGGAAGCGGGATTTTCGACGTGGAGATTATCGACAAAACGTTGATGCAGATGTAAGTGAGGTAAAGTAAAAGTTCATTTTCACTAGGTAGTTATGATTATTACATTGACAGATGATCACGAGTAATGATTTACGTCGTATATTGATTTTTTCTTAACCTAATCTCCAATAAATTGTTTTATATATATAAGATATATACATATACNTATACATATATATATATATATATATATGTATATATATATATATATATAATACATATGTATATATATATACGTATTACTAAGACTATGTGATATATGTATAAAATTCTTTTTTAAATCATATTTCTCTTAATTATGATAAGGAATATTAAGATTTACAAGCTTTGTTATCAATGTAGTTTTCTTCTTTCTTCTTAGGATGAACCGAAAAGTGCAGATTTGGATTTTATTTATGACGATGCAGACACACATGCCAATGAAATTGCTGAATTATATAGTTATACCGAACAATATGAGTTGCAACTTAATTTCAAAGTAAGATCATAAATATTGCCGACTTAATTGTTTACGATGTTCCATATCGTATAACTTATATATGTTATTAATTATAGGCGTTTGAAGATCAGATGGAATGGTATAAGCTATATCCTCCATGGTGGCAGAAGTTAGATGAGTCACAAAAAAAATCAGTTGTACATAAATTGTTAGATCAATTGGAAGTATCCAATAAACAATTAAGGATGAAAGCTGCGCGTTGTATCTTATATTTAGTTCAAGGCTGTTGGGCTGAAGTACAATCTGATAAAGAACAGCAAGAGTGGACAAGAAAAAATGTCATGTTGCTTTATGAAGCCGGTGTCTTTCCAGCATTCGTAGAGCTTTTAAATATTGAAATTGAGTAAGTTTCAATTTATTTCTCTCTCTGATAATAAAATAGTTACAAAATATATTTTAATATATATGATTTTTCCTATTGTTATTCAGAAATAGTACAACTGCTAGCCTGGCTATGAGAAAGTTAGCTGTTAGTCTTGCAGATTCTGTTGATTTGAGAATAATTCTCTCTGTTTTGTATATTATCACAGAAGTTATGAGAGAAGAAATAAAAAGTAAAGAGTACAGCATTTATGCAGATTATGTTGAATCTTTTAAAGAGGAACTTGGTAGTTATCAAAAGTAAAAAATATCATTCTAAGTTAATCGATTACTATTATTATTATCCTATTATCTTTTTCAGTAAATCCGTATGGCGAAGAATTACTTATTGTGAAACTTCTCGGAATGGTGACTTGTTTTTGTAGCGGGTCTGCACCTCATTTTCCTATTAAAAAAGTTCTTTTACTTTTATGGAAATTAATATTAGTTTCTTTGGGTGGTATTGATACACTCAGAGAATTAAAGAAAAAATATAGGGAAGAAGCTGGTCTTGATACAGAACAAGAAGATACAATAGAAGTAGCTAGAACCATGAGGGCTAGTTCTCCTCCTGCTAGTGCACCAGATTTAATAGAAACACAAAATCAGAAATGTAATAAAAGACCTGTTAGACGGGTTAGTTACAATTATCACTTTACATAGTGTATATTTATTTCTTACATTTACTAATGAAATAAAATATTTTCTAGATTTTAATGAAACAAAGTTCATTAGATGAGCCAGGCTTAGGTATGGAGTACGAGGGTGGAGAACCAGGAAATAATACTACAACAAATGAAGGCGAAGGGGTGATAATTCAATTCATAAGTCAACCTTGGAATCAAACTTATTACGAAGACCGATATAATCAATCTCAATTAAGGAATTATATTCCACAGATGAACAAAGGGAAAGATAATCTACATCACTAACTGTTACAGTAGTACAAATTTCATTACTTATAATGACCGTTTATAATATATTTATTTTTATCTTGTAGGTCTACCATGGACACCAAAAGTAAGGCAGAAAGATGTTGACTCGTTCCTGGAAGTATCCAGACTTAAATTCGTCGGTTATAAATTACAAGGAGATAGAGAGAGTTTAGCTGGTTTACCACAACCGATACACGAAGGTGTTAACACGCTTAAAAGAGTAAGCCAAATATTCATTTTGTACAATGGAAGATTTAAAAAAACTGATTCATTATATATATATATATACATGAATATATATATATATATATATATATACATTTTTAGCATATGTATACATCTTTAGCTGAAATTCAAATTCAAGAGGAAGAAGAAATAGCTAGAAATCCAATGAGCACTCCAGAACCTCCTCTTCGTCAAACTCCAACAGAAATTTTATATCAAGCCATATTACCTAACCTTCCACAGTACATGATTGCATTGTTAAAAATTTTACTTGCTGCTGCACCAACCAGCAAAGCCAAGACAGATAGTATTAATATAATGGCGGATGTTTTGCCAGAAGAAATGCCGTATGTTTAATATTTTGTATTAAGTACAAATAAACAATAGTTTTATGATTAATTAAAATATTTTTATGTTTGTAGAATGACAGTTTTTCAATCAATGAAATTGGGAAATGATGTTAATAGACATAAGGAAATAATTGTTAAAGCAGTTTCTGCTATTTTACTTCTTTTACTAAAACACTTCAAATTGAATCATATATATCAATTTGAATTTATGTCACAACATTTAGTATTTGCTAATTGCATACCTCTTGTGTTGAAGTTTTTAAATCAAAACATCATGTCTTATATTGAAGCAAGACATGTGTAAGTTAAATTGCATCTTTCTTACAAATTTGTTGACTATTCCTTTTGTAATTGTTTTAAGTTCATTACAGAATTCCTATTTTGGACTTTCCCATATGTGTTATTGGCGATCAACCAGAATTAACACCTGAAAGTCTTGAAATTGGAGACAATCAAACGTACTCTTGGCGAAATATTTTTTCATGTATTAATTTGTTAAGAATTTTGAATAAATTAACCAAATGGAAACACAGTAGAATTATGGTAAGTTATATTAATATTTTTAATAATTAGTCAATGATTAATAGAAAAGAAAAGAAAAAAAAACATTTATTTTCAATTGTGTTCTTAGATGCTAGTAGTTTTTAAATCAGCACCAATTCTAAAACGTACATTAAAAGTGAGACATGCTATGATGCAATTATATGTTCTAAAATTGTTGAAAATGCAAACTAAATATCTCGGACGACAATGGCGGAAGACAAATATGAAAACTATAAGTGTAATTTATGCTAAAGTTAGGCATCGTCTTAACGACGACTGGGCCTATGGTAACGGTAAATATTCATTTTATTGCATTTTTAATCGCAGTTTTATCGGTCATTTAATTTTCTATTCATATGTTATTATACGTGCATACGTTTTATAGATTTAGAAGCACGACCATGGGATTTCCAAGTCGAGGAATGTGAGTTACGTACTTGTGTTGATCAATTTAATAATCGACGATATTCTAATGCTCCTAAAGACGAAGAATTAGAACCTGTTGATACGTCTGTTACTTCTGTACTCGGTACGAACGTAAAATTAACAGAAGAATTCAAACAGCATTACGAATTATGGTTACAACAAGAAGTGTTTCAAAGAAGTATTAACTGGGATGAACTGTTGGATCCTGAAGCTTGTGAAATTTAAAGTTTTGAATAAGTGTAAAGTATAGAAATAGTATTTTCATCGATTGATAGACCTGGATCAAATTTTGACATTTTTACAAATCATGTACTACTGTGAAAAGTGTTCAAAAGACATTGCCATATCAACATCATAATCTAATTTCTTTTTTATTTGTGTACATTGTACTTGGATGGCTCTAATATAGCAAATGTTTAACAAACTAGCTAATTTTAGAGTGAATGTTTGTAAAATGAAACACACGAGTCGTTTTTTTTATTTTTCCTTATTAGATTATTTGAACAATCTTTACTGTTGATGGCAACAAACATTTATTTCTTGAATACTAATAATCATTCGGTATATTATCTCTTCTATATGTAATTATAACAAATTTAAGACACATTATATTGCTATTTATGACTTAATATTTTTCTTATTATATCATCTAGCTTTATATACATTTATTTATAATAACGCAACGGATATATTTCCCGATACGATATGATGTATTACACCAAATCGAACTTTCCAGATTTTATATGAGTTTTATATGTACCCATCTTATCCATTATAACAGTGACAATATGCAAGTAAAATTATAACGTCTTAGAACATTGGTGTTCAACTACAGCATCCTAAAAATAATTCAATCCATTTATGTTTATTGCCAAAGAAGGAAAAAAAAAGAAATAGAAATTTTATTGACTTATATATTCCAAACGTAATTGATCTTTTTGTATAAACAAGAGAAAGAGTCGAAGAGAAATAACATAGCACTATATGTAAATGTATAATATCATAGTACATACACACAGATCACAATTGGCTTGTATAATATTCAAAACTACAGTCTTATACGATTTTAGAAACGAAAATATATGTGAATCAACTTTCTTCGATTTATTTATTATGATATATGTTTAAACAATATCAAGCCAATATCATCCTTCTCTCTCTCTCTTTCTGTAATTTATATTATTTAACCGATGTATGTTACATTTCAAATGATTGGCACAATGTTTAAATTGTCAAGATTTAATAAAAGTATAACATAAGTAGAAAATAGCTTTGTATTTTTAACCCCGAAATAAATGAACTCGAGTTTTTATGAAAAATGTTTTGTGTATAACTGCATCAAAAGGAATACATACATATATAAAAATAGAACATGTCTCTCTGTAATACCAAAATATATGTATATATATATATATGTGTGTGTGTATGTCATCAATGTAGAAAGTTTGATAAATACTGTATACAAAATTACAGAAATGCCATCTTAATTATTATACAAAATCTTGATATATCACAATCACACATTGTATAAAAATAAATTGGTTTTTATATTTTTATCAGTTTCACAATTATATATAAACTTAATGTTTGTTTTTTTTTTTAAATATCTTACGAAGATATCCATTTGTAGGAACCATAATAAGCAAAATTATTTTCCTTTGCTTTATCATCGGCTTCTTTTGGTCCTCGAGAGCCATGTCTATAAATTTGTGTATAAATTTAGTTAAAACACAAGTCAGTGGAAAATTAAAAAATTAATATAAAATAATAACTTACTTGTAAGGAATCGGTGGTATTTTTTCCTGTTCGATTTGATGTAATAGAGGTGTAAAAATTCTCCACGCTTCGAAAAGTTCGTCGCTACGAACGAAATGCATTTGCGATCCACAAAAAACGTCCAAAATTAATCTCTCGTAGGCGTCAGGTAATTTCAGATGCTAAGATAAATGTTAACAATTATTTTCAACAAAAATCCTCTCTCTCTCTCTCTCTCTCTTTCTCTCTCTCTCTCTCTCTCTCTCTCTCTCTCTCTCTCTCTCTCTCTCTCTCTCTCTCTTGATGATTAATATTTTATTATATTTATAATTTATAATATTTTATTACCTTGTATCTATTGCCATACGTGAGATCTAATTCTGTTTCTTCCATATCAAAAGTGATACCAGGTGATTTAGTCATCATTTTTATGTACAACGCTTCACCAGGTTGTACTCTTATAACTAATTCGTTCCTTTTTGTTTTACCATCGAATATATCACCAGGTACATCGTGATATTGAACTCTAACTTCAGCCTTACGCTCGTTCAGAGCTAAGAGCGTAACAATATTTTATTATACAATAAGAAATACTTCGGTAAAATTAATATATGAAATATTTGACACCTTTTCCACAACGAAGAATAAAAGGAACACCATCCCATCGTTCATTATTAATTTTCAGTACCGCTAGCGCATAAGTTGGAGTGGTTGAACCTGGAGGTACAGTAGGATCATCTAAATATCCTAATTGAGCCTCAGGGTTGTTGGAATCTGGATTACCCACATATTGTCCTAAAACTACGTTGTTTAATTCTATTGGCTTTATACATCTTAAGACTTTAACTTTCTCATCTCTGAAAATAAGACAATGAACATTGCGTTAAACATAACGCAAAAGAAATATCGAAATATTCTGTTTAACATTTTATCTCCGTAAATTCACGGATCTGTAATACCTGATATCATTTGGATGACACGAGGCAGGTTTTTCCATCGCAACGAGCGATAATATCTGTAGCAAATGATTTTCCATAACATCCCTGATAATTCCAAACTCATTAAAATATCCACCTCTTCCTTCAGTACCAAAAGATTCCTTAAAAGTTATTTGTACGGAAGCTATGTTATCCCTGTTCCAACTTGGATTGAATATCCTGTTTGCAAATCTTAATGTCATTAAATTCTGAACCATTTCTTTTCCAAGATAATGATCTATCCTATAGATTTGTTCTTCATCGAAAAGTGACGCAAGATGATCGGAAAGAAGTTGCGATGAAATAGCATCTCGGCCGAATGGTTTTTCTATTATAATTCTTGTCCAACCTCTGAGAAAAAGAAAAGTATTCATTAACCGCTCGCTCGGTAATAATAATACACGTTTACGTAATCTTGACGCAATTGCGAAGAAGAAACTAAGCTTACTTTTGTCCCATGCAAACTCTTTTAATATGTACAGTGACCGATTCAAAAACGTTCGGTGGTAAAGCCAAATAAAAAAGCCTATTGGCCATCGAACCTTTCTCATGTTTTTGCAACTCATTGTTCAAGATTCTAAAATGTTCTTCCGAATCGTAATTACCGCTAATATAATAATTTAATTTCCAAAATTCTTCGTATTTAACTTCCTCTTCCGGTTTAAGTTTCATGTAAGGATGACACTTTTCTCGCAATTGTTTAACAGTTATGTTGCTTCTAGCGTATCCGAAAAATGTCGTTATTTTTGGTAAAAGATTGTCTCGGAAAAGCCACCAGAGAGTCGGATAAATTTTCTTCTTAGCTAAATCACCCTAAGCAATGTATAAAACTTTATTTTATAAACGTTTTCTCTTTTAATGAAATACATTTCGAAATATATTATATATAGTTTCGAAATCGTGTTTGTTTACTTACAGATGCTCCGAGTGTAACAAACACGTGTGGTAAGAGTCTGTCGAAATGTGTACCTTCCAGGTGATCCATTTCATCCGACTTTAAAGATTGTCGGATGAACTGCAGACTCTCCTCCGTGGATGTTCCTAAAGTAAAATAATATCAAAAGTAAGTCTTGGAAAGAAGAATGTTCTTTGTTTTTCAATTTATCCAAATTTTACTTAACTATTTTTAATCAAATAAATAATAATGTTATTTTTAATTCTTCGTTCTTTCTTTTTTTTTCTAGTTTTTTTTTATAAGTTAAACTATTTGTAATACGAGTCTTCTTGTCACGGCAATTCAATTAAAACACGAAACTACCGGACAATTTATCATTTTACTCGTATATATCAAACGAACGAGCTAGGGAACGTAATAGCGAACGTACATAATTGTCCTCGTCTATTCTCGTGATCCTGACATAACCAGGATGTCGACTATGATAAGACTGAAGATTCCAACTCTTCTTCGTTTGTACAAATAAAAAAAATCTTTACTAAAATATTCAACAAAATATATATTCGTATGTGAAAACAAAATACCCCGAGTATATAGTTATAATAAAAAAAATTCATTTCACGTAGATCCAATTTATGTTTCGTAATTTAAAATAATCACAAAAGGAAAAAAACACAAAAAAGAAAAAAATAAAAGAAATGAAAAAGAAACAGAAGGCCAATATTGTACTTTTGAACGAACAATGCCGACTTAAATTGCAACACAACTATTATTATCTACCGTAAATAATAATTCTTTTGACTTACTCAGCATGATTATAATTTGTATAATATCAAATAAATTTTGATAAGACAAAACAATCTAAAGCTAACTTTTTCAAGGAAGCTTTAACGTAATTATTATAATGTAGAACTAAAACTTAAAAACAAAATGTCTTGTTGGTATTAAACACCTGAACACTTTGACATCGTAATGCAAACTGATCGACAGTGTCGATAGATCAACGCTCTTTTCTAGAAAATAAATGCCACAAGAAAATGCGCAAGACCGTAAAATTTGCTTTAAGCGTCATTTTTAACGACGACTACGATTACGATATTACACAAGTAGAAAGATTACAAAGATAACAAAATTCTAGTATCTATTTCACATAAAAAAATATTTTTTATCATCCTTTATTATATTGAAAAGTATTTATAAACAATACGACAAATCTCTGTGATTTATTGAAAATATACCGCAAAAGTAATAATTAATTTTTATAGATATATCAACTTTTTTTTTTAGGTTTGCTTTAAAGAAAATTTGAATTCTTGTCGAGTCATGATGTTTCTTCATTAACTCCTTCAAATTTATCTCACATAGAATTTTCCTTCACTGAATAATCTTCTTCTCATCATTTTTAATAATCTCAATGCAGAAGAACAAATATTAGAAACGCAGTTAATCAAGGATACGATTACATGATTATATTATCGCACACTCGAACGCGAAACAACAAGAAATGAAAGATTATAATAAATAACTATAATAGTATGATATATTAACGAAAATGTTATCAATTTATTCGACATTATCATGGGACGATATCCATTACTAAATTTATGTTAATCAGTTATAAAAATAAAAAATCGAATTCTTTAATCTCTTTTAAAAAATATTAGTAATATGAGAAATCAAATAACTGACTTGAAAATTTCCATTAGCATAGAAGTAAATGTCATATCTGTAAATCGTAAAACATTTCTATATCATATTCGCAGACTTAGGAAATATTTTTTTCAAACAATTTCGACACTCGGATGTATAATCGAGGACCGTCTATAAAGTACGTGCCTTTTTTCTTTTCTTTTTTATTTTGTTCCTTTTATTTTTTTTTTTTTTTTAATAAATATATAAATTTCAGTAAACGATAAAAAACATAATCGAGAATTTTTCTAAAAACTTTTGTATTTATTTTCAAATCTATTAAAACATCATTAAAAAATTCGTTATTTCAATTCACGAATCGGGTTTCTGATTACATAAGAGAGATGATAATGTTATTTTAATATTTATAATTATGCATGCGTTTACGTTACGATCGTGTCATATCGATCATGAATTATTTACACATGAATAAACACGTTTGCTCATATAATATTATGGCGCTCTCTCTCTTTCTCTTTTTACGAAACCAATGATTAAGCACTTTGACAAACAAAAAATTGTTTCAATGCTACTCAAAACTTTTCATCCCAACCACGAACTGTGCAGTGAGGAAGAATATTAAATAGAATACTTGTTTATATATATATATTTATGTAGGATTGGGTTCGGTGTAAAGGTGTGTAATTAACCTACACCGAGGTTAATTCTACTATAAAATATTGAATAAAACAGAAGATAGAAATAAACGCTACAGAAAATACCTCTTTAGGCCAACATACGCTTGTTATATTACTCTCCTACAGTTTTTTCACCGCTCATTTATATATCTGCCGTTAGCGACAAGTTTGTGTTACCTTATACCTTTGAAAAATATCTAATGAATGTCGAAATATATTTTCTCACTTTCATATTCGTTAGTTTGTAAGCGAAGAAACGAATTCTTTGGTCACCGTTATATACAAAGTGTTTCAAAATTCATTATCAACCTAATCGTAACTCGTTAACACCGGCCACCCGACTTTCATTTTTCTTATCTTTTTTTATTCATACTTCGTTCATGCCAACTTCCTTAGTCATGAGTTTTTTTTACATTTGTTACAATTAGATTTGGTTATTACATATGTGTTATTCAGTATGATTTGCGATATCGGTTCTAACTTCGTACGTAACGTACGAACCTAACACTCCAATGATTCCGTGTCGCTGTGAAGCGGAACGAGCTCATTATTTTCTTCATTCTCATTATTTCTTAAAATCAAAAAAGTAATCTTTAAAACATTTTGTAAAAAATACTTACAGAGTATTAAAGAATAACAAAATTATTTAAAAATAGAATTTTAGCACGTTCTCGATGCATATCAGTGTTTGTTATTTTTATCTCTACTAAAGAGAGATTATAAATTCTGAAACGAGTTTACGTTATTTGTCGTTAGTTTTTCGTTTCAAAAAAAAAAGTTACAACATTTATGTTAACATTTTTAATAAACTATTAAAATGTAAAACTATCATGTTCTCTATCGAAGAATTTCATTGTGAACGCGTACAGTGGACGACAAATAACATACGTTTTAAACTTGACACGTTACCTTGATCTCTTCCATTGTATTTCCAGAGTTGAAAAGTTTTTTAAACTTCAATAAGAAAACGAAGTTTTATCTTTTTGTTCAAATAAAAATGAATTAAAGTGAGAAAAAAATTGTTTCTATGTTTAAATAATATAAAAATTTTCCTCTCGTTTTAACATTAATAAATTTTACATCGAGTAAAACAATAAATGCATATTATTCCAATCCCACAGTATATATTAGATAATTATCGTTCTTCACGATACGTAATTATAAATACCGATATGTTAACATATATCTGTAGATATTTATTTTTCACATAGGAGTTAATCATCCAATAAACTTGCATGCTAAGTGGCGTGACACACATTGATATTGTTACTTGATTACGATATACATACATAAATATTCTTACGAATATTATATTTATTGTTTTTCGAATTAATTGTAACGCGTATATTAAATAATAAATTGAATAAGTGTAATATTCATTTAAATAAATATCAATAAGAAAGAGAGAGAGAGAGAGAGAAAGAAAGGTTTTTTTGAGTCCGCCATTTTGGTGAAAATAATTGTGTCATATAAACTTGTAGATTTTTTTTTATTATCGAGCCTCCAGCGATTTTATATCCATTACGCAGACCTACTTTGTGAGTTAACGTAACAAGAATTACTCATGATAATGGAACGTCCTTTAACATGACTATACATAAAGTCCTTGTAGTAGTATTCTTTTAAGCGGCCATATTTTATTTTTACATTCTTTTCATAAAAATGTTTGCACTGACTAATATGCAGTTAAATAATTTCTCTCTCTCTACTTTTTGTTCTTTTTTTAATTATTACAATAACGATAAATACTATATATCAGTATATAATCAAGTAAAGAGGGCCCTTGAAAAATAAATTTGAATCAATGTAACATAATATATTAGATAAACGTTGTTGTAACTCGGATATGAATGTTTACTTTGGTTGAGACGAGAAAAAATATTGCGTAGTAGAACGATTTAACTTTGATTTCGTAACTTCTAACAAGTATTATCTGCAAATCTAAATGTCGTAGAATTAGGTATTTAGAAAATTTCGAAAAATTCACATATTGTATACATTTACATATTAATATAAATTATTTAAAATTATAACTAAAAAAAGAGGAAATGACAGAATGAATAATTGAATTAAATTTCACATGAGCAAAATGAAATTCCTTTGTTCTCTAGTATTTTTAAACAAAAGAACATCGATTTGTAATTTAAATCACTGATAATATCATGCATTCACAACTATAAAGTGCTTTTTTTTAAGTAGCATTTATTACATATGTAAATATTATGAAGCATTACAAATCGAATGATTAACGTAACTCACGTGAATGCTTTATACGTAAAAGATAAAACATTAAACATAAAATCTAATTTTGATTAAAATATTACAAGAAATACAATAAGTATACTTACTTCTTTTAATTTTCGCCATTTTAAGAAAATCGATGTTATACGATCGACAGCAAATACGATATTGTCGATGCACCTGATGAATTTACTTTTAATGTTATAAGCTAATTTTAGTAAAAAAAATAATATGTACTATCTTCTGTTATTGAAATGAAAAATATTTCACACAGACAAGAATTTAGAGGTTAAACTCGCACAGATCCGCACAGCTACAGCACGTGCGGCAGACTGATCGATTAAAAGATCACCATATATTTAACGTTCGAAAATTCTCCATCTTTGTTTCGCACGATAACAAGTATTACAACTCGTCAATATTATCTGATGATACTGAGCTTTCACTTACGCTAAGTATTATGAACATATGTATACCGATTATACCTTGAAATCTAATGGCACTGCAACAAAATTCTTACGAATTCCAGGTAAATAATACGACAATCATTTTTCTTACTGATAGTTTAGATTGTATTTTAGAATAAGGTTTGCTATATTTTATTAATACATTTTAACAGAATTATATGTATCATTTTAATACTACTTATATACTTGTTGTATATAGAGTAAAATATTAATAAATAATTTAGCCAGCAGAATGAATCGGCAACTTTTATAAAAAAGAAATATTAATACTTGAAAATGATAGATTAAAAGCAACAGGTAATAACAATTACCGTTTTTTTTACAGAGACAAATTATAAATATAATTAAATTTAACGAGATGACAACGGTTATTCATAAAAGGAAAAACGATTTCTCTCAGGCCCTCCTTTTCAATATCATATATGTTATATAAGGTCCTAAGTTACCGATAAAACGTTTAAACTTGATTGTAGCGCCATCGGCTATCAAAATAACAATTACAACTGGTTTTTACACAAAATACATTTTATAATATTTATATAAATGACTTTTTATAAATAAATATAATTAGTGCATAACTGCAACTGCAATATATTAGAAAACATGTATTGCAAATTAAATAACATTAATTACTTTATTTTAATGTTTTAAAATTCATATGAAACATAATTAAATATATATTCTTTTGATTGTTGTGAAATAATAAATGTTTAAATCGCAAATAGAACAAAATTTAAATTAAAATTTTATTCTAATTTCGCATTGATATAAATAATCGATGTAATTTAGTATCGATATAATTTATAATCGATTTACAGCGTGGTTTGATTCGCGTAGTCACAGAGTGAGCTTCGTTCGCGTAGTATTGCATCATAAACGCCATCTATTATCAGAAGAGTTTTCGTCGTAAATCCTATTTTTTTTGTATTTGTTTCATTTGTACGTATAACATATAACATTTTATTGTGTTATTACATTATAAGAAGAATATTTTATATACATTTTAATGAATAATGTTTGAAAATGAGAGACTATTATCTCTATTAACGTGTTAATAGGTATTTCAAGAAGATAATCTCATCTTTTTATAATTGAAGAAATTGTTCTGATTTAAAACAAAAAAATGAGGGTCAGTCTTGCTTATTTTAAAGGACGACTTCCCCAATCTGAAGCTAAGGTTCCATATAACGTTGCAGAAGAACTATCATTAAAGAATTATGTAAGATGTAAATCTGTTGGGGTTACAGGTATTTTTTGTCTATATCTACACGTATGTTTTAAACATATTTTATGATCATTTTTTAATAATTTATTGCTTTACAGAAAAGGGTTGTTTACACGAATTGTCAGTACTTTTAACATGCCTCAGAGAAAATGAGTTTGATAATTTCAATTGTTCAAAGGAACTTACATCTTTTGAAAATTGTAGTAAAAGATTTGCTAAATTATCTGCAGACTTGAAAGCTTCGCACTCCAAATCTGTGCCTGATCCTAATTCCAAAGTTTTTTCTTCGAAACAGATAAGTTATTTATTAAAATTATATCCTACACGATAATCAATTATATTTATATGTTCATTAATTGATTAATTAATTATAGAATAAAAGCTTAGAGATAAATCAAGATATATACATTTTTATGTATATTCAATAATTATTTCTAATGTCTGTGTGTGTTCACAGTGTCAAATACATTTCTCATATAAGAATCCTCTCTCTTTCTTTAATGAGCATACGTCATATACGCATTCTCTTTCATTCGATACTTGATATCTTAAACAAAACATCTTTCCTGATATATTTTTGACTTTCATCCTTTGTTTTGTCATCGGTCGCTTACATCATACACTCTTTGTCGTTTGTTTCTTTTCTTTTCTTAAACTCGTATTCAACTAGCGACCACTAAACCCTCAAATATTCTCTCCCACACATATGTACCCTTATAACATAATACTCAGCTTTCTTTCATATAGCCTACACTAAGCATATTCAGTTGTCCATAAGCATTCATACAGTCCACATCAAGCAATTGTATCATAGTCCACAAGACTTAATAATAAAAAATCATAGTAGATTAAAAAACTGCCCTTAGTATCACTACAAAACTACCCACACCGTATTAATTTACTTTCGTTGGGATTCCGTACAAGACGAACGTATAATTCGACTTAAACAATTTGTACATTAGTTTGAAACAGATTCGCGTTAGCATACATACATTGCGCGCGAACAATGTCATTAATCTTAAATGAAAATTCGTATGTACTGATCATAAACATTGTATTATATATTTACTTTCACGTTCTGTATATTAATTGTTAATAGTATTTATTAAAAAGAATGTAAATATTCATGGTAGGTACAAATTAATTTATTTATGCTTTTGTAACATGATTCGAATTATGTTCCTTCATAGAAGTAGCATGCAAACGTTTAATAGCCAATCTTTCAGAATGACCTGAAAAAGTAAAATTACTATTAAAGAAAACATTTTTACAAATACAAATACTTATTAAAATTATAAACTTACGAATAGGTTTATTAATAGATTGATTAATATTGATCGGTGTAATTATTTGCATGTTATCTAATCGATTTTCTATTCGTCTAAGTGCATGAAAACTTTCTAATTGCTTGTCTTTAAAATAGAAGTATGTACACAGCAACGTAACTGCACATAATGTTAAACATATTTTCCTTATCGACCAAGTTATGTATATTAGTTCTACCTAAAAAAATTATAAAATATATTGAATTATTGAACACAGACCTAATTGATGTGATAAATAAAATTTTGTATAATTTTTACCTTGTCATGTGTAAAATGGTTCATGGTATTCTCATAATATTGAACTAATATTCTTTCTACTGTAACGTTTAAACTTAGAATTATGAAAAGTATAACACGCGCATCTGCAGTTCTCTTAGCCGAGCTAAAAATTGCGCAGAGAATACAACTGATTGTATAATAAATAATAGATTGGAACCATGATACTTCTCCGATAATCCAATTTTGAAAAGTACGTACGTAAGAAAAAATCTCATAGAGTAATTCCTTCTGATCTTTTGCCGATTCTCTATAATATAAAAGAGATCACATTGATACATTTAAATATCTTTCAATAATATTTTCAAATTAATTCTGTTGTAACATACTTAAATTCCATAACCATATCATTCACAGTTTCAGATGAAGATTTGATTATGCTTCCAAGTTCTTTACCGTGGCTTAATATTTCGTTTTGAATTTTTAATCCTTCTTTCTGACTTTTCAACATTACGTTTTGTAACTCTGATGCTTCTAACAATTGTTCTTTCATTTGAGAAGAAACTTTATACAACCTATATTAGAAATTATATTAAATAATTTAAATGAATATTGCGAAGAAACAATTTTATATATCTAACACTTACGATTTGATCGTTTTGTCAGTTTCCATCTGCCATGATTCGTAATTTAAATAAAAACATATATGTGTAGTATGCGTATAAAATTCATTATATACATTGAATGCTCTATCTGACATTTCATTGATACACTCTCTGAGAAAATAATTGTTCGGGATATTATTAAAAAGGTGTTTATAAAATTAATAATTTAATTGTTGATTTAAATATAATAAGAAATTACTTGCGAATATCTTCCGATTTAGTCAAATGGCAATCGTAAGAAGTATGACCAGAATCTTCTAAAAAACAATTAGCTAATTTTAAAGCGAGGAGGGAATGTTCATAATCATTCAAATTCTCACAACTATTTTTTATCGACTTAAGCGCATTAGACCAACATAATCCATGTTTTGGCAAAGTTGATTTGGCTATAAAAATAAGAAATTTTGTTATGAATATATTTATTAATTTAATAGCAAATCATATGACGTACCTGTTAATAATGTATATTGTTTTTCTCCTAGATTTTTAAGTACTTCGCTTCCCTCTAAAGCTAATGCACCATATATATAAATAATAATTATTACTCTGATCATTTCTATATTTTATTAAACTTATTAACTCCATGAATTGAATTAATGCATTTTTCTTCACTTTGTGCAAATACACTGAATGTTTTCAATTTAATGCCATCAACTATATTTTGAAGTTTTAATTCTAAGAGAAAGAGACTTGTATAAATTATCATTTATATGAATAATAAAATATAAATATAAACAATAATTTATATGATAATAAGATATTTACATATTAAAATGAAAAATAGTTTCAGTGAACATTTAAATCTTTACGAAAAATTGAACAAGTGTTTGTATAACTTTGCAGCCCCTTTAACCAATACTTTATGATTGGTTAGGAAATATTGTTTTCTTGTAAAAATTAAATCGTAAAAATATTTAAAAAGATTTATGAATTAGTTTTTATCAAAATAGATAATAAATATACTCTTTTAACACTCTTAAATTATTATAACGAACATTTCAAATGAATAGAATCACTTGACAATCACGTGACAGTTATTCGAATGTATTTTAACTCGAAATAAGAATTTATGTTTTCTTATTGGTCGTTATCATGCACTCAAAAAAATATCCAATAGCACATTATAAGAACAATCGTTCATAATATTTCATTTAAGAAATATAATAAAATCATGAAATGACAATATCTCTTAATAATAAAACATTAAAAATTGTTAATAATAATCTCGTATTAATAAATTAATAATATATCGAATAATAGAAAGGATCGATAGATCGAGAACATCGAAGTATTTTTTATGACGTCATCGAAAATATTTGACGACAGAAGCGCCACGGCACGTTGGGTTTCGATACTATTTATTCGAAACTTGCACACATCTCGATCGATTTATTTTTTTTAAATAAATTTAAAACAAAATATATTTATAAACAATATTACACATATTGATTAATAGTAATATTATTTTTTCAAATAAAAATTATTTTTTTTCACAGATATGAGCAACATTTGAATAACAATTTGTAAATATTTAATAGAAAAGTTTGAATGTATCTCTTATTGCATATTAATTCCACGTACAAGGAACTGTTAAGGCTCTTTGATATTAAAAAATATTACACGTATCTCTTTGCATGACTCATTACAGTCAAATTATATTTCTTTCTTACTTCGTCACTTTGTAAGGGAAGTTCAAAGAAACTTTAACCGGATAGATGACTACTTAAAAGATAGAACAACGGTGGTTAGTTGAGGCACTGTTGGCAAGTGGCCAACGTCGTTTGCCATTGAATTCGACCAAACCGAAAATAAGTGGTCGGTACAGAGAGACAGGAACAGTGTCATGGGTTCGATCTCCTCGCTTGCCTCTTAAAGACCGGTTTACCCTCAGACGAGTACGGAAACATTCTGGGATCATTGTTCGAGCGAGCTCGTCTCTTCGTACGAAAGAAGACGTAAAAAATACGTCTTATAAGTTCATACGAATCAGGCCAAGCTTACCGATAGAATCTGAACAAAAAGAATACTCAACGACAGCTCGCTCTCTCCCTCCCTCCTTCTGACGAATAAATGATTAAAATATCAAAGTATCAAAAAAAAAAAACAAGAAAATTAAAATAATAAAAAAAAAAGATTTTGGCAACCTGCTGGAAAAAAGACTATGTTGTTTGATTTTAAGCTGTCAAAAAGCAACTACAGATTCATCATGATCGATCGATCTTTGTATTGGCGATTTGCCGAAGTATCCGTGTGCAAATCATCCACGCTTTGGCTGTTTGACGTCAGAGTCGTAAACCACATCTCGATGGAAGGATTAAAAATACACCGACCCGGAAAACCTGGTTGCCAGATAATTGCAATCTGATCCAATAGAAATTTTTCAAAATTTTCCATTACAATGTTTTCAAGATTAATGAAAATAAAAGTATAATTATTAGTTAGCACATTTATATAAGGATGTAAACTTTACTTGGTAACACAATGAAAGATTCAAACTTTTCTTTATATTTGTTATTATTCAATTGTTAAATCTGATTTTATTTAGTAATTTTGTTAAAAAGTTTGAACGTTGTCCTTCTTTAAATGAAATAATAAGTTGAAATTTCGTATAGAATCGTCGCGAATAAAGGAAGAAAACGAAAAGGTAAGAGATCGTCGTATTTTAAAAACGTCAAAATGAATTCTCTTTGTGGATATGGCAAATAGGATTTATGACCTGGATTTTGGAGTAACGTTTTATCCAACGATCTTTCGCATAGCGCATTCGCGTCAAGCGGTCATAATTATTATCCAGTTATTTACACACTAATGCGTCGTCCGGAGAGAAATGTAGCACCCCATCGTCGACTCGTGCTACACGTACTTTTCGTATTAACAAAATTCAGCAAAAGAAAAAGTTTTGGGAGGAACGAGAGATGGGTATTTATTTAGTAGGCGAATCTCTCAAGGATTATTATTATTATTATTATTATTACCCTTTAAAAGTTATCACGGATATGAAAAATTTCATTTAATAAATTAGATTTTCAATTGACGATATAATGTTAACATTGATTTTGTTGAATATTTTCTATAAACCACCACTCCCACCACCATTACCATTACCAGTATCATCTAACAGATATTACACAGATTATTTATTTTCTTTCATTTCACTTCCTCTGATAATCTTTTAAGGGTTTTTTAAAGTCTAGACAAACGATCGAGATAAAACAATTGTTTTTTGATACTACCCTTTAATCGAGCCATCGCGCTGAAGAATACTCCATCGAACAGTGTCATTTCCAATATAAGACCACCTGTTAGCTAACACACTTTTTTTTTCCCTCGATGTCTCGAGATCGATCATTGTCTATTGTATAATATTATATAAAAGAATAGACAACCGTAGACTAATTTGATTTGAATAAAAACAAATAGAAATGAAAACAGTAACAATATTTGCATAGAACAAAAAGGTTGGCATGTTTATAAGGCAATAGAACAAACAGTTCTTTCATGTTTTTAACAATTCCTTTAATACGTACTCAATCATATCACTGTATGCATTCGTCAATTTTCATCAATTCGGCTCAATTCGGTTCTATTCGTCGTCATTCGCTAATTGTAAGATCTGCACGAGAGAACAATTTCAAGCATCGAACACGACGCGTCCTCGTAATATATTTTACACATTTCGATTATCGATGAAAATGCTTTGTTTTCTTTCTTTCTCTCTTTCTCTCTCTTTCTCTTTCTCTTTGCATTCGTTACAGTTGGATTTTTTTATTTTCACACATTACAACATGAAAGAGAGAGAGAGAGAGAGAGAGAGAGAGAGAGAGAGAGAGAGAAAGAGAGCAAAGATGATAGGACAAACGCTCAATGAACTTAAGGCATTGGTTTGACGTATTTAATTTTCTTCTTCTTTTTTTGTTTTTGGTTTTATTTTTTATTTTTTTTTTTTCGGTTAACCGTCATAAGCAGCATTTATTTCTTCATGTTTGTTAATCAAAGTCGGATCGGTTGTTTTAAAAAATCAAATTAATATTTTCGCGCAACGCTTTGCGAGAACGCGTTACAAAGTTTGTTCTTGTTTTTTTTTTATTATTTTCGTAATGAGATATAAGGGTTTGTTTGCGTCAGGGTTGTTTCAATGTGTATGTGTGTCACGGAGAAAATCATTTTTCTTTTTTAGCACGCTTTACTCGTGTCGATCACTCGAATGATACATACATATTATTATTATTATTATTATTATTATTATTATTATTATTATTAGTATTATTATTACGATATTACACGTCGGACACGCTGCTGCTGGATCGACGTTAACGACATTTTTATTTTGCCGTCCGTTTTCCGCAAGGAAAGCAAAAGTATAGTATCAATCAGGAGTAATTCCTTTTAGTCCGATTACTAAACGTTCCTAATTTAATACTTATATATAATAATGACGTGTGTGTATGTACCAGTAAGAGATCAAACTTTGCATTGTCGCTTAAATAAAAAGAAAGGAAAAAAGAAAAAAAAGAAAAAAAAAAGAGAATTAATATTAAAATATTAAAATTAAAATTAAAATTAAAATTATAAGAAGGAAAAAGGAGAAAAATACAATAAAACAAAATGAAATAAAAGAAGGAAAGATCAAGTTAATATTAAGAACTTAGCACGTTAATTATATTTTTTGGAGGAGCAGGCTGACGATAATGATTATGAAATTAATGATGATGATGATGATGATCATGATGAAAATGATGTTATGCGATCTATGACGTGTGTATATTTCTTATTTCGATCTTAGAATGATCGTCGCTGCAATAGATTTCGAAAAAAGAAAATATATAAATTTCACGTTAAGAGACATCAATGCTTGGAAGAAAGTATTTATTATAATGATAAGATATAATAAAATGCATTATGTTTGTGTTGCAGCGACGATTGTCAACGAACGTGAATGAGTTTTCACAGTGATTTGACAATGAAAATTTCTAGTGAAAAATGATCTCTTGGGCAATAGATGAGATCGATTAAAAAACACGTCATCGAAGAAGGTGAAACGATAACGTTTCCGCAAAATGGCGGCGGGTTTTAGGGTTTCTTTAAATACACACAGTGCGCGAATAAGAAGAAACCTGTGTATCGGTGAATATTCCTAAAGGTTATATGTGTTAGTCTGCTGTGATGTGTGTGTATGTATATGTATAGAATGTAAATATGTATATAGATTATATGCGATACATCGTAACGCTTTAATTTTAACATGTGAGACGCGTCTTGTACTTTTCTTCTTTGTAGTATTATAATAATCCTTCCCCTTTCTTTTGCATTTGTATATTATTTGTTTTAGTTTATATTGTTATCCGTTCGTGCGGAGTGTTTAACGAAATTACAAGTGGCAGCATGCTATTTTTATTTATTTCCATTCATTTTCAGTTTATATATATATTTCCTCCTATTCATCTTCTACTTCATCTTCTTCATATTTTTTCGTTTAAATACAGATTCTCATAGAGACATACACATATATGTATTTATGTAACTACATATATACACGCTATTGCACGACGATCTAACGCAAAGTAAACCGAACTTGTTCGTGCACTGCTGTGAATTTAATCGGAATGTTGTCTTATTATTTCTTCTGTATTATATTTATCATGTGTGTGCTCATTCTCTTCTGCACGATCGGTAAGAAAAATTGAATGAAAAAACACAAAAAACCAAATAAAAAATAGAAAAAAATTTACAAAGATTATTTAACAAGAGTTCTGGTGTATTGTCATCGGATCCTGTGAATGATTTACATTTAAGTATTACGCCGGCAAAAACGTTCTACGTGTACTACTCGTCGAAAAGTAGTAATTTGTTTTCAACCACAGGAATAAAAATGATATATATATAATATTATATACAAAGTATCAATGTGTGTGTGTGTATATATATAATACAGCGTGATTTAAAAGAAGCAAGATACCTGAATATATCTTTGTTAAATTAAAAGATACGAAAATTTGTTTGACACAATTTACGCACAATCATCAGCCCTAACGATTTTTTCTTTCATCTTTTCTACAG